TCTCTCATTCTTCTCTCTCTCTACATCTCCCTCTCTTCTGTATCTGATACGGTCTGTTACTGCACTACAGTGACGTATATACTCTAAAAAAAAAATTTAAAAAAAAATACGCCTGCCTGTTTTTATTACATACGAGACAAAAATATCAGTATCCGGGGGGAAAAAATTATTAAAAAAATAACGATGATGACGTTGCGATGAAAACTAACCTTAACTGCAAATATTTGTATGAGGAATGTTTCCTTGATTTTTTTTCTTGGTTGTTTTTTTCCCGTTTGGTTTTCAGGACTCGTGAGAGATTTCCTCTCGTCGGTGTCTCGGTGTGTTGCTGTCAGTGTTAACAGTTTACAGTGTCTGTCAGTTTGTCAGCCCAGGAGTCCATGAATATCATTTCCAACTTGTGGTTCGATTTTGAGGTTTAGGGGTTTTTGATGCTGTTTGTTTGTTTGTTTGTTTGTTTACCTCTGTCCCCATGTCCCGCGTCCACTGCCGCCATTTTGTCCTCCCCAAAAACTAAACTGTAGCAAAACCTCAGTCCAAAAAACTTTTTCAGAGGGGGGTCAACCTGTTCGATGGATCTTTCCCGCAGCGTCCCTGCCCGGCGCTGCTGCTCGTGTACGGCTCCACTCGGCCCCGCACCTCCCGCCTCCACCTTTTCTCTCCCCACAGCAGACTGCTTGTCTTGGCACGACCACCTGGCGCTAAATTCATTGAGTAGTGACTTCATGACTTCCTCTAAGACGCTGGCACAGTCGCTGCTCGCGGGAGGTGAAAATGCTCGCTTGCTTTCCACTACAGGGCCAAACAAGATTGCCTACAAGCATTATGACAAACTTCCTGGCAAAAGAAAACCCTTTTCTGTTATTGTTTCTTCTGTCTCTTTCCTGCGTGTGTTTGCAGGAATCATTCGCCAGCTTAGCACAAGGTTCCCACAAATGACGAGTGTTTTATTAAGGTTGGGAGTCGGCCTCGGTCCTGGCAAGCTCCGATTGGCCCGGTCGTGGAAATTGATTGCAATCTAACTAAGAGGCTCTGGGCTCCGGACTGCTCACGTGCCAAGGTCTGGCCAGCGGGCGCGGTGCCGAGCTACAGTCTGTGCTGCACTAACGCTGAAGAAAGTCATTCAGGAACTTAAAAGTCCCCCTCCCTCCCTCCCTCCCTCCCTCCCTCCCCTCCGCCCAGCTCGTCCATTTCTTTCCATTCTTTAATTAATCATCCGGTCTGTGTCCTGATCCACCTTCACCCGCTCACTCCTTTCCTCATCGCTTCCCCCCACCACCACCACCACCACCACCCATCTCTGCTCGATGTCCGATTCTCCTCGCTGGTTTCTCTCTCATTCAGGAGTCCATGTAGACGTACATTAGGAGTAGCGTCTCTAGGTTCGCCGGCGTTCGATGGTGGCTCTCCTCAGCACCTTCTGGGAGTGTTGTTACAGAGAGGAATCCATTTGCTGTTGTCCGTCGACCCGTAGACAGTTATGTCTGTGATAGTTTTTGTACACCTTTTTTGGGAATGTTCAGGGATTGTGCTTTTCGTACCTTTCCCCCGCATCGTTAACCGCCACCTCGCTGGCTGCATTTGAAGCCCAGCTGGTGCGTCTATAAGCTAGCTAAAATACAAAGGGTAATGTGGCCCGAAGCAGGGTCCGCTGTTGTCTTATTTTCTCTCCTCGTTCTCGTAAACTTGGCGTCAACGGCGTTTGAATTCCGTCGGACACGGTTGAAACAAAAACCGAGGTGAATATTTTGTGGAGCTCATGACGCCGTTGATTCCACGTTTACGCTGCAACGCTCTTCAGCCTCGTGTCTGCAGACCAGAGGACGGGCCTCGTCGCACAGAGCTCGCTGTCCACTTTGAAGAGATACCTTTGGTTAGTATTTAATCCCAGTCCAATTCTGCTCTGTGAATGGAGAAAGGAAAATCTGCCTCATACCTAAAAAGTGTAGTGTCTTTTTAAAACTAATGGACCTGTATTTGCCTGTAATTTATCGTCCTGTCCTTCGTCTTAGTTAATGTGCTAGCATGTAGCTTGCATGAGAAACGGTTGGAAATGTAGATAGTGTCGGGGATGAGCAGCGGCGACGAGCTTCTCTCCTGAGACGAGGGCGGCGGTCGGCCCGGGCTGACCTCGCCGCCGTTCTCTGATCTGCAAACATAGGCCGTGCCCCAGTTCAACCATCTGTACCTCCGCATCGTAACACTTCTTTTGCCACCACTGCTCCATTCAATCAACACAGAGGTACAGTGGCACGCCGTCAGAGTCACTCATAGTCCCGTGCATCAGTGCAGTGATGACAAACTGTCACCAGATGCCAGCAAACAGCAGCTTGTCTTGTCCCGAGCTGTCCTGTCCCACCACTGAAATCTCACCAACTCCTCTTCGGGCAGTCGCACACTAGCTGCCTCTCATCTCTCTTCTTCTTATGCTACAGACAAATTGATTTTTAAATTCCGTTTTGTAAAAGGTGTGCATAATCTTAAATTTATTACTTTCAGTTCAACCGATAATCATATTTTTATTAGTTTGTCCAAAACTTGAAGGTTAGAAGTTTAGTTTTTGCGTATTTTATTGTTTCAACAACCATTTTTATATAATTTCGTGTATATAGTGTTGCCTTTACTGGATACTCTTACGGACGCACCCATACACACGTTGCACACACTTAGGGTACATGCACATCCACACACATATCTGAATATGCACAGCAGGCATGGCGTCTGTGACTGTGGTGTATTTGTACATATGTGTGTGTATGTGTGTTTGTGTATGAATGTGTGACGTGTATTAATTGATCCAAACAGACTCCGAAAAACACTCTTTACGCGTGTTGCGTTCACGAAAAATGTTATAATTTCAATGACTAAAACGACGTCTTTGTCTTTAGCATCATTATATTTTTTGGATGACAAGTCTTCCTTTTGAATAAATGTCCATATCACACGAGAGTAGTGCTGTCACGTATGTTCATTTCTACTATCGCTGAAGATGTCACCAAGGTGAGAGCCAACCGCATGCTGTGGTGGGTTTGTCTCTGTTGGCCGTTTATGTTCATGAAGTATTTGTTTTGATTTGGTTTTCTGTTCAAAAATACCAGTTCAGTTGTTGACTTCAATAAACATGCATTTGGGTTAATTTCACCTGTTGTTGTCGGTTCTTCCTGATTTCCAAAATCAATTTTAGAATCAACTCACATACACACATATCTCTAATGTCCTAGTATTTGAAGTACTCCTCGTGACATTGTTGACATGACGCAATATAATTAGTGTTTTCTATTATATGAGCTAAATATAAATCAAATAACCACAGTGTGTAGAAAAGTGAAAACAAACAACAGGTTATAAAAAAAAAACCTCCATCTTTTTTTCACACTGTGCACTTACTGAACACGTCCAACAGGGGGCAGTGCAACACAATAACTCAATGTCCCTTGCTGAAAAGGTCAAATGTAAAAAAAATGAAAACCTGAATTGGACTAAATTTAATTTCCTGTTTGCAGACATGCTTGTCTTATTATTGCTGAAATGGATTAAACTGTAAAATGCTTTCTTTCTCTCATAAACACTATGAAGGCCTTGTGGTCTCATGACCTTTCTTTCTTCCCTTCTTTCTTTCGTTCTTTCTTCCTTTCTTTCTTTCTTATCTTTTTCTTGTTCCTTCCGCCCCTCTCGCTCTGCGGTCGGGGGGGGGGGGTTTTTTTTCCCCATGTTGATACTGGGTCGGATGTTAATAATCAGCCTCACACTGCACACATGCTACTAGTTAATTGCACAGTGAGTAGTCACGGTGCTCACGCAGCTGGATGTTCCTAACTCTCTCCAGCTGTTGCAGAGAAGCAGACTTGTTTGTCGTCCCTGAACATCGACTTATTCAAAGTGCAAGAAGTATCATCGGAAAGTATGAACGCTCAGTTTGATCATGTTAAATTCAAAATCCATTAATACTGCTGCTAATAATAAGTGTGGAGTGCCTTTTTACTAAAATGTATATTCTACAACACGATAGCTCACGTTTCTGTGTCTGCGGACAGTGAAGTCATGGACCTGTCGTTTCTTTTGGCTTTTGTTCCTTCGAATATTTTGAAAGTTTGGGTCTATATTCATGGAACTCTGCAGAGAAACAACAGTAAATCAAAGCTGATGTAACATGTGAGGATTCATTTTACTGTGGACAATCACAGACAAAGATTTTTATAAAAGGAAAATGTGAGAGAAAGAGATTTTGGCCTGTTGTTACTTTAATATTGACTGACGGGTCTTTTTCTCTGATCCTCATGTTATTTTATTTTGAATATCAA